GTCTCCTGTGATTCTCCCAAATCCCAGACCTGTGATGAAGATTGTGCTCTGCTTCAGGATCCAAGATACAGTCAAGCTGTACAAACACTTCTCTCTAAAGATGAACTGACTTGTTTGACCAAAGCTTCAGGAACATGTTTTCAAGATGCATTTATGGGCTTTCCGGAGACTTCACAGACAGATGTTCTCCAAACATATGAAAAAACAGAGCTCTGTGAAACTCTAGCCTGTGTAAAACTGTCTGATATGCACAATGCTGAGTCTTGAAATCACTTTTGTAAGATTATAATGAACAAGATCTGGACTGGTAGAATGGGAATGTAGATATTTTTGTGATTGATTTGACCTCTAATTGAACACATCTCTTTTTCCAGATGAACTTTTAAAAGGAGTATTTCAAGGTTTTGCTCTTCAGATCGTATCTCAGCCATAATCCATGCTTTTCCATGAGGGTCACATAGGAATTTTTCTAGTTGCTGGTGCAAGTCCTTTTAAAACTTAATGTTAAAGCTGAATTTAATGCTTTACATTCTTATTCTTTCCAGGACAAAAAACTGTCAATGCTCCAAAAATGCCCAAGCAGATGAGCTCGGAGTTGTCACAAGGCATAGATGTCACTCTTACAGTTTGGGAAGGAATGATTCAGTCATTGGGATACTGCATGAGATACACAACCAGGTGAGCACCCAAGTTCTTCGGGCTTTTGCAACTCCCATGAAATCTGCAAACATCTATGATGTGTTTTTTGATGAATCCAGGGGTGCTTCAGTTCATGTTAGAAACCTGGGCAAGTTTCTCAAAGAGAGTTGGGAAAGCTGGTCAGTGCCAGTATTTTGTTTGCAGCAAAGGGCAGACAAACCTGACACGTCTGGGAAAAGCTCTGACCATGTCAGAGGCCTGAATGTGGCATAACTGAAGGGCTAAAAAAGGGGATAATAAACTATTTCACTAAAAAACTTTTGGCACTTTCATCCATTTCCTTTTCTTCCTCCCTTATCGTGCTTAGTTAAGGTAAGAGATAACTTTCCATTCAGGTGGCAATACCACAGACTTCTAAAGCATTTGGAAGGTTAACTTCAGAAGTAATAAATCATATGACCAAAATAGATTTGGACCAATATCCCGCCTTTGATTTTTTTATTTCTTTTCTCTTTTTAATGGGCATTACATTCCCTTTTGCCTTTGCTCACATTTTGATCGCTATCCCTGGGAGTTCAGAGCCAATTGTTAAATATGCCAGCATTGTGACTTTGTTCTTTGCTTTGTGCTGCAGCTGCCACAGGAGAATTGTAGCCCCATTAAAATCCATTATTCGCCTTGAAGTCCTGGACTTTCTGGACTGAAAGAAATCTGTCTAATTGTCATGGCCAACTGATGGTGTGTGAAGGATTTGGACTAACGAAAGAGTTACTCAGTGAAAGAAAGCTCATCTTAATTCTGGGGTGAGAGAAATGGAGGCGCTTAACCAAGTTTCTTTTGCTGACAGACAAGGGATTTTTACATGGCACACGTCCATGCTCCAGGAAGGATTTCTGATACTTGGAGTTACTTCAGCTAGCCTAGTATCTTTCCCATCCTATAAGTATTTTTGCAATCAAACTTGTTGGATATAAGATCCTAATAATGGCATGGCTGTGCCTTGGAACTATGTGAGTCTGTGTCAGATGCTCTTTCCCAGACTTTAACTGGAAGCACGAAATTTGCTGTGTGTGTCTGAAGCTGTGTGCCAAAGACAAAGCAGCAGGTCAAAGTGATGGGGCCAAAGGGAGGGAAGCTTTTCCTACAGCCCTGCTAAGTGAGGGAAGGTGCCTACCTCACTAAGGAACTACTGGCTTGATTATGTAGGACATTTTCAGGGAAGTGAAGCTGTGTAAGTTATCTTCTGTACATGGAAGAAAAAGCATAGACTGGAAATTTGAACTGTTAAGAGCACTTATTGATACAAGGTTCTTCAGTGCCAGCTCTTAGTTATGTGAGACACTCTAAGTGACTTATTCCCCAGAGGATGTGGATGTCCTGCAGCCTTGTGAGCATTGCACAGTGTCTTGCACAAAAGAGGATGAGGGAGGTGTTGCCTGTCAGGGCCGGGATTTCTTCTGACCAGAGTGGTCCAGGCAGTGAGCATTTGCCACTAGTAATTTGTAGTGGTTACAGTGAGTGTCTTTAACTATTTGTCTGTTTGAAGGAGGCCACCATTCTGGTTACAAGTATAGCAAGTTTTCTTCTGGCCATGTTTGTACACTAATGCATGAGCTCAAAGCTGAATGACATCAGGATTTTGTGTTAAGAAGCTTTTAGAAAGTGAAATCTTTTCTGACAGTGCAATTTGAAAGACTGTAACTTGCAGCTCTCAGGAGAAAAAAGCTCACAACCCATTCTGGTCCATTTTGCAGGCAACTTCAGTGGTGACACTTCCATCTGTCCCATAAAATCTTGCAGTTCAGTAGTGACAGTGACCTTCCCTTCCAGGACTTCAGCAGCCATGAAAGGCTTTCTCTCAACTTCCTCTACTCAGGAAACATCATCAAGTAAGTCTATTATGATTTTGTAGGAACGGTGGTGAAGTAAAGCCTAAAGTATGGCTGTTATAAAGAAAAAAATATATATCTGTTCTGAAGAGAAATGGTGGTGATTAATAAGACATCTATTAGAGATCTTGAGTGTTGATTGAATGCATAAGTAGTGATCTAATTACTGCGCTCATTTCCTGCTATAAACCCATAAAAAAGAGATCCTGTCTTATCTGTTGCTCTCTATCTGCCCCTTTCCATTCTGCTCTACAAAACCAGAATCTCCTCTCCCTGTGACCTGTCTGTTATTCCTTCTACAATCTCTCTTCTGCTTCTCCACCTAGCAGGCAATGATGCTGCCAGGTGCTGCTGTTACCACTGCTTACCTCCCCAGACTTCACCCCTGCCCCACGCCCAGGGAGCTACGCAGTTAATTGGGCTCTAAGCTTAAAGATCAAAGGAAGCCTCCCTCACATTCTTATTTCCCAGGCAGGGACAGAGCTGGTGACATGGGTGGACAGTTTTCTCTGTGAACAGCACTGCCCCGGCACCATTAAGCAAACCAGTACTTTGATCTCTCAGATCAGAGAAACTCGGATCTGGAAAGATGTGTCCAGTCTGACTCTTCTGTTTTGTGGAAGCAAAGTGTTTTGCCTTTCTAGCAACTTGAGCCACATCTAATCCTCTCCCATGCCCCTTTCTTCTGTCCTACCTCTGCTCCTCACTGCTGTGTGAATGAGCACATCTGCTTGGGCGAGTGTGTTGGGCTTCAGAAGTAAATCACAGCAATTAAATTTCTCTTATTAAAATGTATCAGCATCACCAGAGATCTGTTTGCTTTTCCATGCACACATGCACTTTTCCAAAATGAACTTCAAACCCTAGCTCTGAAAATGAGGAGGTGCCTTTTCCATTCACCTGCAGCCTGGCTAAAAACTCCTCTTGGCTCAGACTCTCCTCCCCAGAATAGTCCATAATCTCTCTGTATTTGTGTACCTCAGGTGAGATAGTACTCTCCTTTCAGGTCAGGAACCTGGAAACATGGAGGTTGCTGACAAAGGTAAGACTGATTTTAACTTTCCATAAACCTGATGAGAGGGAAGTAGTAGAAAACCTATTAAAAAAAATCCTTCTCTTCTTTTTATGCACATTCTATATTTATGGCTTGGGAGTTAATCTCTATCATGGGTACGTGTCAACATTTGGGTATGAAATGGTCACCAGCAACATTAGCCATGTCAGTACTAAATGTACTTTCTTAATTCTTCACATCCCTATTTTACTGTTTTCACTTTCAATTCTTGCTACCCGAGCTGCTATGTATGTTTGGAGAAATGCATGGATACTTGAAAGCAAAAAAACAAACCCAAACAATAAAACAAAATCTCCCCAGAAAAGTCCCAAACCTTAGCTAAATCCAAAAATCTTAAATATGTTGGATCTAAGAACTCTGCACTTTGTATGAAGGCTTGAAATTTAGCCAGGTTGACCAGCCTGCCTGAAGCATGTTCCCAGCTGTTCAGCCAGAGGGATCCTCAAGGTGGAAGTTTAAAATCCTCATCAAGCTTCTACAACTTTCATGTTTCCAGCAAGCTCGATTTCCTTTCCCTCATCACCCCAAAAAGTATGCTGTCAGACCCACTCTCCTTTCACCCCAGTAAATCAGGGTCTGATGGTAGTCAGTTTTATTTTTTGGGGAATTCCTGAAAACAATGCAGGCTATTCCACCAAATCATGTAATAAAATGTTCACATCTCTAGAACATTGCATTCTGCATTTTAATCAGCTTTGTGGCAACTATAAATGCAAGGCAAAAGCATCATAGAATCATAGAACGGTTTGGGTTGGAAGGACCTTAAAGATGATACAGTTCCAAACACCCTGCTGTGGGCAGGAACACCTTCCCCTAGACCAAGTTGCTCAAAGCCCTGTCCAACCTGGCCTTGAACACAATTTATTTTATTAGAAAAATCTTTCAGCATGTTCTCTGTGTTAAAGCAGCTTCCTGACCCTGCATTTCAAAACTGATGAAACTGTAGGATACAGAGGCCTCAAAATCCTTCTTGTAGAGTTGTATGAGCAGCCAACACAAAGTGAACTGGAAGGCAGCAGCCAGTGTTAAGTGAGACTCTGGGTCTTTCCCTGCATATGCCACTATGCTGGTTTGGGCTGGGGTAGAGTTAATTTTCTTGGAAGTAGCTGGTGTGGGGCTGTGTTTTGGATTTGTGCTAAAAAGGGTGTTAGGTAATAGAGATGCTTTTATTACTGCTAAGCAGTGCTTACACAGAGTCAAGGTATTTTCTGCTTCTCACATTGCCCTGCCAGTGAGGAAGCTGGGGGTGCACAAGGAGTTATGAGGGGACACAGCCAGGACAGCTGACCAAAGGAATATCCCATACCATATGGCATCATGCTCAACATATATAGCTGGTGGAAGAAGGAGGAAGTGGGGGGGAACATTTGGAGTGGAGGTGTTTGTCTTCCCAAGTAACTGTTACCCGTGATGGAGCCCCGCTTTCCTGGGGATGGCAGAACACCTGCCTGCCAGTGGGAAGCGGTGAATGAATTCCTTGTTTTACTTTGCTTGTATGCATGGCATTTGCTTCACCTATTAAACTGTCTTTATCTCAACCCACAAGTTTTCTCACTTTTACTCTTCCAATTCTCTCCCTGATCCTGCTGATGGGGAAGTGAGCGAGTGGCTGCATGGGGCTTAGTTGCCAGCTGGGGTTAAACTGTGACAGCCACAAAGCAGTGCTGTTGTTATCACACTGCTTATTTGCTGAATGTGCTTTCCCTTAAGCTACTGTCTGAGATCATTTCAAGATACTCTTCCATGCTCTGATGTATTCAAAACTGCAGCGAGTTAATTCAGTGCTCACCCCAGGCACCCCACACTGGGTGATAGCCCCTGTATCTCTGCGGTTCACACTGCCACTGAACCAAGTACAGAAACACCCCTGAGGAATGACTGATTATTTAAACTAGTTTTTGGATTGGCTTGCTTTTGTTTAAAGCAGATGCTTATTGGGAGGAACGATTGGTCTCAGCATGTAACTGACCTCAGATTAATTAATAACCACTGTCTGGAACCCGACACTACAAGCGGGAAGCAGAAAACAAACAGTTTAAGCCATCTGTGCTAACTTTTGCTTGAGAGCTTGGCTGCTCTTATTAGAGGGTTTTGCCTTTTCCTGCGGCACACAGAAGGGAGAGGGGGAGTCCATTATAAAAAGGTTAGTTCCCACAGTGTGATCCCCCAAAAGAGGGGAAATAGGGGGATGTGTTGTACCTCAGCCTCAAAATTCTTAGTAAGTTTCTCTGTACCACTTCTACCACTGACAAGATTTTAATGGATTTATTTTTTGTTAAACCTTTTTTTCTCCCCCTAGATTCATCTTCTGTTTTACTAGTTTCTGAGGAAAGTAAATACTCTTCCCTTCCAGTTTCATTCCTTTCCTTTCTTGTGCTGACATCTCTTGTGATCAGTGGAAGCTGGTGGTGGTGAGATACAGGCTGTTTATGTGCTCTTTAATTTGCTGTTACTGGAGATGGTTGGGAACACTGTAGCAAACTAATTTTGGAAAATGAAGACTTACTGTAGTGGAAACACTTCATAAATACTGTTTCAGCTAAAAAGGTCAGGAAATTATTCTCATGTGCGGAATATGTTTTCCTGAAAAATGTGTGGAGAGCTGCTTACCCAGGACATGCTGCCAGTCTGTACACATCTTGCTAGCCTGCAGACAGGGCCATTACTATTGCCATCTTGTCAATCCTGGAAAAGAGAGATGGGCTTGCTGTCTCCCACATGTCGATGTACAAGCAGAGCTGCCCTCCAGCAGCTTAAACCTTCCTGTGTAGTATCCCGTGCTGCTAGCAATGGTGGCAGTGGAGATGGAGTATGGACTTTGATGTGTAGCTGGTAATTAATGTATGCATGCAGTCCTGGGAGAGCTTGTCCTCTGTCCCCCCAAACATGCTGATGGATGTATTAGGTACTTCCTGGCCTCAGCTGGGCAGAGGTACCACATCCTTCTGTTGAACCTTCATCCCTGTTTTATGTGGATTCCTATGATGGTGGCATAGGTCTCGGACGTTTCATCAAGATCTGTAGCTTCAACGTAAGCTCCATCTGCACTGGAGTCTGGTGCCTGAGAAGGTGAGTGACTGACACGCCTCTGGACTCCCGGTGTTAGTCATAACAGCAGCAAAACTTTAGAGGTACAAGTCAAGGTTCTCTGTCAGCACAACACCCAAAGCACTGAGACCTCAACTTGGATTCCCAAAGGTGTCCCTGTGAGGTAAGGTTATAAGTTTTGAAGTGTGCGTGTTGTTTGGCAGTAGATGCTGCAAGTGAACTGTGAACTCTTCCTGTTGCCTGAACTGTAGGGTTTCTTAAGACTGAAATAATGTATTTGCTTTCCTTTTCCCTTGCCCGATGCAGGGAAAAGTTCTGTTCTGTCAGACAGAACAGTTGTGGGGAAGCAAATACTTGTTTCCAGATGTGGATGATGTCAGTCCTCTGCTTGCAAAAGCCACGTGTACACGCCATGGTCTTGGTGGGTTTCCTCTCAGAAGTGACCTGGCACTCCTGGAGCTGCAGAAACACATCGATCCAGGTGTCATTTGTAGTCCCACCACATTTAGCTGTCCCAGGGTTAATGATTATAACAGGTCTCAGACATGGGGCACAGTGTTTAGTATGTGTGTGGGAAGGGGGTTGGGAAGACATCTGTGTATCTTGCACAGTGAAGGATGGTAAGAGCGAAATGAACAGCAAGCCTTCAGGCAGGATTGATTCCTCTTATCTGACTAAAATACAGAATGAGGGTTAGGAATGTGACTTTAAGGTATAGGTACAGGCTAGACATGATCTAGAGAATAGAAAAGATCACCTATTCTACCTGTCTTCTCAACCTGTTACCACTGCACTATGACACCATTAAAGTTAATGAGCCAAAAATAAGCAGGCATGTCCCAAGGGAGCTGTTCTTACTTTTTTTTCTTCGTGAAGACTGGTATGCACAGGACTAACATAATATCCACCTCTGTGCTGACAGCAAAGTAATGTTTTAGATAGCAGGAGCTGAAATTTAAAAGAAAGCTGTTAAGTTGCCTATACCCTTTGTCTAAACCCCAGAATATTCTTGTTAGAGGAATATTTTGCTGCAGTATATAATTTAGATTTTTATACGAAAAAGTGCCAAGCTTGGACAGAGCTGAGAGAAGTTACTCCTTCCAGTTTGCTGTGTACAGCTTGGGGCAGGACCTGGGGGAAGGAAATTATAAAAACGGAAGACAAATGTTAAGCGTTGGGGAAATGAGATGTAAATAGAGCCAGTACACAAGCACAGAGCATGTGAATAAGGAGGCTATATAGCACATGGATCTTGCCATGTCCTCTTAATAGTATCCACAAAGAAAATACCGCAGTTCTTCAAAGAACTGCCTAACTATGTGCACTGATGATGGGAGGCTTCTGCACTGAAGGAGTGAAGTCCTGGGTCAAACTGGCTTGAGGAAAGTGTCTTCCTTCAAGGCCCTGGATCCATGTCACTTTGGAGGGCCTCCTCTCTCATCTTCTTAGAAACAGCCTACAAAATATGTTCAGTTTGACTGTGCTGTGGCCTCACACAGTGGTATCAGGAGAAAGCCTCATCTGACTCATTAAAACAGTGCTCTTGGGCATCCAGCGAGTACAGCAAGGGAACATATACATTATTAAAGCTCTGTCTCATCTGTTCTGCAGTCTTGTTGTGGGATATTTGGGAGGAGGGGGGAGACGAAGCAGCGAGTTAAAAAGCAAGAAAAGCAGAGGGCTGACAGAAGTAAGAGCAGGAAAGATGTACCTGGCGTTGATGAGAATTTGCTTTCCAACACAGACAGTTCAACAGGAACAATCAGCTGCTGGCACACGGTGGAGAGGAACAAACACTGCTGCAAGATCTTAACAGCAGGAGGGGGAGAGACAGGAGCTGACAGTGAGCACAGGTTACTCTGACATGAAAGAGCACCTATGACCAATCGATGGCAGTGCCAGCTCAGACTGGGGGCAGTGCCAAGAGAGATTTCCCCTCCTCCCTAAGTGTTGCCTGCAGTGTAGGAAACATTTTCCACCTAGGAGCCAGGCTGTCTCTTCTGTTGGAAAGCTGGGAAGCTTTGGGAAAGGCAAAGCCAAGGTGGAAGCTAAGCAAAGGGGAATGAACTCAAGGGAGATGAAATCACACTCATGGCGAGTGTCCAGGGTCTCTGACCCATGTCACCACTGCTGCTTGGCAGCGTGGTCATAAACCTCGTGTCTCCTTGGGACATCTCAGTGTCTGGGGAGGAGAAACTGCTCCCCCATTTGCAAACTGAAGAGAGCTGCACCACCCCTTCATTCCAAACAACCACTGACCCTCTTCCAGGAGATGTGGGATACACATGCCTGGGTGCAGCTGGCACAGAGCTGGTCTGTGTCCTGTCTGACCAGCCCCTGTGCCAAAGTCTAGCACAGATAGTGGCAAGGAAGCACCCTACTACCTGGCTGGAGGTAACTTGGGACAGCTGGTGAGTTCATGACAGAGTTGAGGATGCTGTCAGAAGGTTTGTGCGTGCTCACATGTGCCCTGCAAAGAGGCATCCATCCCTGGTGGTGTGCTACCTTTGCTCTCTCTTAGGGGCTTGGCCCAACACTTCTGGTCTTTTGGTGACCCATGCAAGAGGCAAGGATGAGTTATGGGGACTATAGGCCTTAACATATCATGCACACTTTCCACTGTTGACTGACACCCTATTACTGCTCCTGACTGATGGGCTTGGCTCCCTTGATCCAAGCAACACAACAGCAAAAGCCATGGTGGCTCCATACAACTGTCTGGAGAGTGATTCCTTCTCCTGAAGCACATGAAATACATGAACAACACACATGCAAAGGGATGTAGACCCCAGGCTGGGGTCTGCCCCCAAAAGTGTGTTGATTGCCTCCCAGGAGCAGTTAAAGGGCTGTGACTCCTACCCCTGTGAACTCCCTGATGATGTTGGGTTTTCCAGAGAAAGAACTGGTTGCCAGGCTCTAACAAGTGGAGATCTCTCTCCTCTCCCATGAGGCCTGTGCTATGGGAGACTCCTGGGGACAAAATATTGAAGAGACCAACTTCTGTGGGAGAGCTACAGGGGCAACTTTTAGCACAGTGTGTAACTGAGAGTGCGGGAATGCACTGCAGACAACCACGACACAAAGCCATGTCCCTCCCTGGCTTCCTGCATGTGGATGCTTTTGACACTGCTGACAGGTGATAACCCCTTGCTTTCTCCTTCTCTCTTCTTCCCCTTTTCCTTCTTTCAGGGAGATTCTGGGTGGCCAAAGATCTGTTTGTTTGACAGACAAGACAAGCTGGTCAGTATTGCAATCTGAGGCAGTGACAAGTGCCATCCAGGGTCCCTGACAGTTTGCACCAGGGTTTCTGCCTTCAGACACTGGATTTCCTCCATCACAAACCAAAATGTCTGATTAACTAGAACATAAGCTTTTCAGGCTTTTGTGCATTTTTGCTCATTAAAGAGGTTGTCATGTATACCGGGTTTGTAACTGGGACCACATCCCTCCAAACCTTTCCTCTTTGGAAGTTCAGGCTTGGGTGCTCTGTTTCAAAAATCCTCTTTTTTACTGCAGTAAACCTTGTGGTGCTGTGCACTGATATCAATTCAGTTCCTGAAGGGTGCCTAGGAAATATTATCCTTCAGCGTCTGGGTGCATGGCCAGTGTCAAGCCCTTTACACAGCTGGTATTCATCTGTCAGAATTGGTATCCCTGTTCCTCTTGGATAACCTGATTTATCAGAGGGAAGTAGCTGCTGCAACAGCATGGGTAGAGAAGATGGACTGCTTTGGCTGCAGCGTTGCTTTGCTGGAAAGGAAGTGATCTGAAACTTGGTGTGATGGCTCATCCATTGTAAATATGCCTTCAGGTTTCAGAGAGATTTATCTATGCCAAGATTTTAGTCTTGTCTCTCCTATTAGAAAGACCATACTGACATGATTCCATTTGCTAGAAGGTTGTTTTTTCTTTTAAATATACCTTCTTGGGGGTGAAAAGGTAGTGTCTGACTTACCTAAATTTTCCTGTGAGCTGGTAGCTCAAAATTAGACTTGGAAGTGAAATGTACTTGTGAAGAAGGATTTTAATGCTCAGCCCTATCACATGTATGAATAAATTACAAGCCAGGAGACCTCTGCCTGCATCCATCTCCTCTGGTTTCAGCACTACTGTGCACTACATACACATCCATTCTTTAAACAGAAGATAGGAAGCTCTTTTCCATCTCTGTGCTGTATATTGTAATCCACTTAAATATGGAAATATAAACAGAGGAGTTTATGTGATGAAGCAGCATGATGTCATGTAAACAAGTGAACTTAGCAACCATCTGCTCCTAAATGGCTGAAGAACTGCAGCCTGCCCTTATACCAGGTCATTCAGGTACATAGTTAATAGTTAATACATACGTACATACATACAATACTTAAAAGATCATGTGTGTAAATTTTGATTTAGTGGACATACCAAATACCAGTGTCTCTGTTGCTTAAATGAAACCCTTCTTTCTCCTATCCACATCCCATGCTGCTTTTGGAAAGAAAACCTCATATTCTAGCACAATTCTGAAAACATCAGTCAATCTGTACAAAAATAATAGTTCCCCTGAACTAGCAGAGCTGTAAATTGCAGTATTTTGTCAGGCTGCTGTTGCTGATGACTGACTTGTTGTGTTATAACTAACTTTAAAAAACTGCTCTGCCATCATGACAGTAAATATGTTGTGGTTTTGGCTTAAATATGTGATTTCCACAATGTGTCTTCAGCTGTGCAAATAGAGCAGCTTAGGGTTTGTAATTTAGTGCTGTATCACAGACCAGGGAGGCTTCCTATTGTGAAAATATGTGTGGCGTTGGGGGAATAACACACTGACTGAAACCTTCAAAGATGTGGAGGCAGGATGGGTCACCATGCCTGTTCCTGGTGGCAGGGAGGTAGGCAGAAGGAAACCTGTCCCCAGGGTTCCTGATGTGCCAGTCACCACTTCTTATATCTGGAAAGAGGATGTGCTTCCCAGTGAAGTGACAGCCTTGTCCTAGAAATGGTCCTGTCCATGCCCTGGGAGATTGACAGAGCTGCAGGCTGAAACCAGGACTCCTCTTAATACTCCTCTGAACATTATTTTTTGACATAGAAAGGGGCAGCCAGGTGCTGAGGGGTGTAACTACTGATCTGCTAAGGAAAGTGTCACCGTGTAAAATAATTTGGACTTCCAGTGCAGAGCTAAAATTGAAATGAATATGTAGGATATCTGCTCTTTATGTTGTTCCTCAAGATCTGCTGCCTGGACTCCTTTTGGACCATCTCTTTGATGCAGAGGCATTTGGTAAGAGAAGAGACACAATCCAGGGTGAGGTGCAGCACTTTGTACAGAAGAGCTTTCCCTTTCCAGCTTTCTATAAGCAAGTCTGGATCTTATATTATAGATTTACCTCTGAGGGAAAGGGAACAGCAGATCCAAGAATTATTTGCATCTTTTGAAGGAAGAGGCACTGCAATATTGAAGAAGGAGGCATAGATGTTGGGGAAGGGTTGCATAATTAAAGCGTGACAAGTAATTCCCATAAGTGTGGACTCTAATGAGCTCTTTTCTGCAGTTCTAGACTTGTTTGAAGCAAGGATAGATCATAAATTAATCTATACAGCATTGTGGTGTCGTTTTTGGTTGGTTTTTTTTTTTCAGAATAGCTCTTCACTGCAGGACAGCAGCTTTACCACACTCCAAATGCTATTCCTGATTCATCCTTTCAGAAATATCCATGCACAAATCCCACAGCACTGATGTTTTTATGCTTAAAGAGGGCACAGTAAGTGTTTGCTGCACCAGCTTTAACTCTTCTATGCCATTTGGCTGCAGTGTCAACACAGGAATTCAAAATCAGGAGAAGGTTCTCCTGACCACCAACTCCTCCACTAGCCCAAGCTGCAGTTCAAGCTAACCTGGTTTTTTGGTTCCTTGGGCTCCAGGGATTGTATATTAAAGTCTGGAGAGAGAAGGAGGGCTTCTGCCTGGCATTAGCTGGATGTGCTTGAATGGTGTGTGTGAGCTTTTTATGGCACAAGGAAAGGGACTATGAAATCCCAAACAGACTCCTCATTACAATTTCTCAAGTAGCTGGGAACGCAGCACATCCTGATGCTGCTATAAATGTCCTTCTCTTTGCAGTTGCTGCACAAAGTTGATTGTCCTATCAAAGAGGGTTGTTCTGCTTAATTGCAATGAAGATGTTCTCCTGATTCATTGCTCTCACTTTGTGGATTTTTTTCTCTTTCCTTAAAAGTAGCTTAACAAGAAACTACAAGCTGCTGGTTTTATAAGCAGAGATTTTTAAAATTTTAGCAAGTGCTGGATTAAGATGAGTGGCGTGAAATTTTGATTACTTTTTTCTCCCAGAATAGCTTGTGCTTAATGTTGGGGCTCAGATACCCTCCTTTTCATGCTCTAAGTAGCCTATCACATTTCTACATGGACTGAGAGGCCTCCAAGAAGAATCTGTAACTTTTGACATAAATAAACCCTTACAAACTCAAAAGCAGATCTGTATATCCTTGAGGCAAAATAGCCTGAACTGGCTGGAAGCTGTTGTTTTAGCATCTACATTTCATTGCAAGAGCCAGTTCTTTGTATGTATATTTTCTTTGGATGCAGAATGAATGCACTCACATGCTAATAAGGATCAGTTGCTATTTTCTTCTCAAGACACATACAGGATTTGATCTATGCTTGCTGTACTCTCTGCTCTCCCCTAATTTAGTGGCACTGTTTATGTAATTGCTGCTTTTCTGATTAAAGTGCATGAGTACAAGCTGAAGGTTTGACACAAGGCAGCCAAAGCTGTTTAATTGCCTTTAGCTTGCCTGTAGCTGCAGCACAGCTCTTTGAATGCAGCTGACTTGCGAGAAAGTCTGGGAGAGAAATGATGCACTTTTTGTTTATGCTTTTTCTTTGGCAAAATTGCTCCGTGAATTTTTATCACCTAATGGTTTCTCTGACACTTTTAAAAACTGTGCAGCTTCTCACCAAGAGACTATTTTATATGAGACTTGGGCCAGTAAACCATTTCTGTGATCTGGGAAGTGCTATGCTTCCTTCACAGAGCAATTCATTTTGAAATTAGCTGGGCCTGCCTGCTCAAGAGGAACTCACAGTTGCTTGGCTGCTAGTCCTGAATGGACCTATTAAATGCCATATTTCTGCAAAAAAAACCCAGCAAAAATCTATTGCTGACTAGCAGGTCCTGAAATTCATGCATACCAAGGGTAGCATAAGTTGTTTCAGTGTGCGATTTTGGAGAGAAAAGTGGTCTCTGGCTTAGTAAATACTAACTTCTACCCAGTCTATTGAAAAAGGTGGTTATATAAGGTAGAAGTCAGCTGGGGCTTCAGCAGATCTGGTAGGAACTGGCTTCCATTCAAAATGCCTTTTAAAATTCACAGCATTTAGTGATATGGTTGCTAATTTACTTGTCCTGCACTAAGCTATGGCCAGCCTTGTGTTTCTCCCATGTGATTCCAAAGTACAGTCTGAAGCTCCAGGTCCTTTCTCTCCCTTGTCTAAGGCATCTTACAGAAATGCTATCACCCTATACCAGCCCCACTGTTGTACAAGGGAGGTCTGGTCCAAGGCAGTTTAGATGGGTCATTGCTGCTGCCTCTGACCAGCAAGGTGGAGTTGTGCCAGATTCAAGCACTTTGAATTCGTGTGTGTGAAAATCAGTGTGTTATGGTTAGATGTCTGCTCACTACAGTGAATTGTAATGGCAGGCTCCTATCAAGTGATGTGCTGCTTTCCACTGTTTTCAGACAAAAGTTTCCAGCATGAATCCTAGCCTGTATTTAACTTGCCTTTGCATGTGAGATTTAGTACTTAGAAGGGGACAGGAGACCTGGAACACTACAAGATACAGTGAATAGAAGAGGCATAAGGAATGTGTGCCATAGGCAGAGGATGGGGACTCATATGTAAAGGCACGACAGCAGGAGCACACCATGCTCTAAAATCATGACTGACTCCATGTTCAGACTTGCAAGAAAGAGAGCAGGTTCCAGAAGGAGAGGGTACAGATGTTTTATTTGGGATTGATGGCTCTTCAGTCCTAGCAGTAAGTTGGAGAGTAAAACCAGGTCCTGAAGACTTGCAGTTGGTCATCAGTGAAGTCAGTCCATGACAGATTTCCCAGGGTCCCTAACCACTGCTATTTGCCCCCTTTCTTTCCCCTGACCATGGAGAAGAATCCTAGTTAATGGAAACTGCAGACAATGCTCAAACTGGGTTTTGAATTTTCATGATACAGAGCTACCCTAAACACTAATACCAGTGCTCAGCCCCCACCCTTATGGCAAACTACATTTGTCTTGTCCTGTGTCCTGGGGACACACTCTGCGTGTGTATATTTTCTTTTGATGCAGAATGATTGCACTTACACACTAATAAGGATTAGTTGCTTTGTGTTCCCCTGTTGTATGTGAAGGTACCACCAACAGACACCATTTCTTGAGGAACTGGCAGCACTGGCTACTGTTGACGCTGTGTGGGTTGGAAAAAGGAGCTTGCTCTGCTGTGAGCACGGCATTGCTTGGGATATCTGGTAATGAGACCAGTTGGGAGGGAGCTATTCTCACTTTGCAATCAAGAAATTAAAACACTTCAGTGGGGGCAGTTTGAGTTGAATTCCTCAGTAATTGTCCCTCTCCTCTCACAGAAGTTGCTCAGGAAATACAGTTCCTGTGAAAAGACTAAGGAGCATCTTGCTCTATCACTTCCTTCTCTAGCTCAGCTGGAATTCAGTACATTCTTTTTCCTCCAAAGTAAAAGTATGAAATTTAGCAAAAGTGTGTGCTGTGCCCTGGTCCTCCCTTGTAATTCCCTGGGAGTTTTGCCCAGAGGTGACCAGGTTGTATATATCCACATGGTTCCATACCAGTTAGGAGTCTGGAGAGTGCTGGGAGCTTTGTCCAGCTATGTGAGCCTTTCAGAGTGGTGATGCAGAAGGAAGAATACAATCACCTGGCTTGCAAGAGGCAAAGCAGAGTTAACATTTTAAAAAATAAAACAGACTCAATTATACCGCATATTTCTCAGAGTAGAAAACCATGATTTAGTTGCTTGAGGGTTTTTCTTGTCCACCTCTTTTTTATTAAGCTCATTTTTCTTTATTCCTGACTTGTGACAGCTGAAGCAGTTTTCTTGAGAGAGAGAAGATGAGTGTGTGTGTGTGCCAGGTGACCACGTGTTTGTTTATTGTGATGGTGATTGAGTCTTCTGGCTGGATTAGGATAGTCACAGATGCTCAGCACGTTGGATCACAGCCCTAATTTTGAACATGCATGCTTTTAAGTATGCACTTAACTAAGAAATGCTTCAGATCAGGTTACTAATGTTTTATCTTCGGGCTTCCCGTAGGTATTTCCTCACTTTCCTCCTCTGCTGCCACCACGTGGGCATGTCTCAGTGTTCATTTAAGGTTTGTATTCATCTTTGAGAAGCATATCCTCTATCCTTGATTTTATTGCAGTTTTTAACTGTACACAACATATTTCTTCATTTGCCATGAAATTCAGCTGAGAGGAATCTGACACATTAAAATAACAAAGCAAGGAGAGAGAATCTCCATCATGTTTTACTTTCCCATTTTTCTACTGAAAAAGTTCCAGAAGGTGTACATTTTTCACATTCTAGAAAAGGTTATGTAGAGTAACTGAGTGTGCATAGCAAGTTACAAACATCAGACAGAAGCTTCACCGGCATCTCAATCAAAAGTCAGGCTCTGCCTGAGCACAATTTTTCCAAAGGGCTGCTCATGAGGCAATTATATGCAGAAGACTCTGTGTCACCGAGAGCTGATTGACTGGCTTTTATGTGCCATACATTCAGCTCTGAAAATTGCACTTGGGACTCGACACCATTCATGCAGTCCTGGAAATACTATTTTGAGAGCAGAACTCTATTAAAATTGACAACATGGAGTTCTGGAGAAGAGGAGGGAGAAATGAAGATGTCTGGTGCAGCTCGTACAGTTCAGTGACAGAACAGCATTGGAGCAGCAGCACAACCTGGATCCTGTTCCCCTTGGGGCTTACTCAGGCCAGAGTCAAGTGGATAACCATATTTGAAATTGGATATAGACAAAGATAATCTAATTTTATATTGAACTATAACTTATTTTCCTATATTTCTCCATCGATAACTTTCAGCATTAAATGCATCATTTATAATCTGCTGCTATAAAAAAGCAACATACAGATGCAACTCTGTTAGAAGTGGTGGCATGCTGGGGCAGGTCCTGCAACCTTGTCTTCTGTGAGGTTAACTTGTTTCAGTATTGCACACGAGCAAACCACTCATCAGGTATTACTTTGCTTAGTGATACGGCATCAGAAAGGGAAAGAACAGTACTCTTTCCCTCTGCAATGAAATGCTGAAAGCAATGAAATGTTGGGGTGGGGGACTGATCTTGTCCCCTGTCCCCTTTCAGTCCAGGATGCAGTTTAGGGGTAGTTGCTGGAAGTAAAATCCCTTGAGAGTGCTTTCTCCTCACTTTGTATCAGAGAACACCCTTCTGAATGGCTGGAGTGGAGCAGTCTCGTTTGATCAATTTACAGCCTTGTTAGGGGAAAAAACTTTAAATGAAACACAGACTTTAATGCATCAAATGCTGCTCTAGGTGTATGGGAAACTTGTTCAGAGTGATAAGTTAGCTACCAGGACAGATTACAGCTGGGTTCAGTCCTTGATATTAGCCACACAGCAGGTTGTTCCGTGTGGTTACAATACCTACAAGAATAACTAAATCTCATGTGGTTTTATCCATTACAATAGCTCTGACAGAGCAAGTTTGGCCCTGGGGCTGTGAAGTCCTGGTGCCAATATGATAGAGAATTGCTATTCAGTCTCAGAGAATCAAGAATAACTTTCCATTTTCTCTCTCTTTCCTCCCTCTACTGGCCAACAGAATAAGATCAGAACACATTCAGAATTTTCTTTTGCTCTTCAGAGACATCCTAATCCAGAATTCAGCAAAACTTCCAGCTTTGACTCATCTTGAAGGTAGAATTGAATGAGCTGAAACAGGTGCATCAAAGACCTACATGGGGTTTCTGTGCTGCTCTGGGGCTATCTTTGGTTTCAGGCCTGGGCTACCATCTGTTACGGTAGATGAGTTGGGATGGGGGAGATCCTTCAGGCCTCGTTTCAGTCCATTACCTGGAAGGATTATGCCCTTCCACCCTGCCCCCCACCATGTGGCCCTGAGACCCCCCAATGGAGCACTCACCGGACCACCAGGGGAGAGAGGACGAAAGAGGAAGTTTATTGTGGGAGGGGGCTTATATAGCCCTTGGGGACCAATCACAGGTGAGGGGTCACAATCAAGGTAAGGAGTTTACAGCCAATAAGGAAGGGGTTAACAAAGGACCAATGGGAGCACCTTGGGTCATCTTCCCAGGACACTCCTACCTGAGAGATAAGGGGTTACAGGGGAGGTATAGGGGAAAAGCAGTGGCTCTGCAAAGAGCCCTCTTAACATGAGTTTAAACAACATTAAAAACTTCTGATTCACCAGCCCATCTTTGGCAGGACTTTTTCTATACACCCATTGCCACAATCTGTCACAGGAATGTTCTAAAAAGGCTGATGTCCATGAGTGACTTAGACAGAAAATGCCCTGAGAGAGATCCTGGTGCACCTGGCTGCCTGGGGCCAGGCTGACCATTATCACTCAAAAATTGCAGAATGGCCACGGGGTCAAGGCACCTCTGGAAGTCTTCAGTCCAACCCTTGCCCAGAGCAGGGTCACCTCGAGCAGGTGGTAAAGGGCTGTTTCTAGTGAGGTTTTGAATATCTCCAAAGATGGAAACTCCACAACTCTGGGCAACCTATTTCAGTATCTGGCCACTCTCATGAGAAAAAAGATTTTTCTTTCATTTCATTGGAATTTCCTGTGTTTCAGTTTGTCCCCGTTGCTTCTCATCCTTCCATTGGGCATCACTGATAAGTGCCTAGCTCTGTCTTTGCTCCTTCTTATCAGGTGCTTATGCATATGGATAGGATCCCACTGAGTCTTCTCTTCTCCAGCCTGTACTGGTGTATGGGGTTGTTTCTTCTCTCAATTTTGGACCATCTGAGGGTGCACTTTGCCTTCTTGTCTGGGTCATTTATGAAGATGTTAAGAAGTATTGGTCCCACTATTAACTGCTGGGGTCTACTGCTGGGGACTGGCCTCCAGCTGGAGGGAAAAAGAAAACACATCTCTCTCAGAAGCCACGTGTTGGTCCCATGTAGTGCCCAGATCTAGGCCAAGAAAATGAGTTTCCTGGTGGTTTCTGTGAGGTGCATTTATTGACCTATGCAACAGGGATGAAGCCTTCTGAGTGACAAACAGCGCCAGTGCTTCCTATTGGAGAGGAAAATTCAGGCACAAAAGCTTTTAACCAAGCTGCTGTGGGAGATCCTGATGAACTCTTTCCCTCTCTGTTTTCCTCAGATCTTGAGATCTCACTGTGCAATGTATTGACAACATTGCTTGGAAGGACACCGTAGCCTTTACTAGATGTTTCCACCTCTGCAATCTGTATCATACCTGTTCCCTTGATAAAACAGCTTTTGGACCAGAGGAGTCAGTGTTCACAGGAACACAGCCTGTATCATTTTGTTCCATCTAGAAGCTTTTGGGGATGCTAATATCCAAATGCAAATATCCAGGATTGGTGTTAAATGCTTTTGCACCCCAGAGTTTTAGACTTTTCTTTCTAGATTGCCTACTGGTTTATATTTTCTGAAAAGCAATCTCTGAGTATAAAATGAGATGATATAGCAACAAACACTTTTCAAAGTCTGCTTCTGCTGAAAGAAAGCCCGTCCAGCTGCATTAAGAGAAATATGAGCCTCTTAAATCTGCTCACCACCCCAACAGAGGGAAGTTATATTCTGTTCTGCCTTAGACAATTTAGCAGCAGCCATTTCAAAAACACCCTTCAGCATCTTAAAAGCAAACATGCTTTTGACAAGACTTCTAACAAAAAAAAAGGACCCCCATAAAAAGCATGAGTAATAAAAGTTATTCTCTTAAATATAAGAGAATAACTTGTGAAATAATGGGGGATATACTGGACTAAAGTTAAATTTTTCTATCTTTTTGACTACTGTCACCGCAATGTATGGGTAAAAAACTCTCTCCTGGTCTGTATGAGAGTTATTTGGAACAGACCTATTTTAGATTTAGTACACTTCTTAATCCGACAGTGAGAAAGGTCATTTTTAACCATCTCTTTCACCTGTAGGAGAACTCTTGGTCTTTCTTCCCAGCTTCTTCAAAGTTTTTCATCTATGGCAGACTAAATGTTTCACAGCTTTTCTCCTGAGAGTCTCAGAAGTATCCTGTGTACTGTGTTAAGGTGCATTTCTTATAAGACTTTTTGGAATCCTCCATCTTGCAGGTTCACCCTGCTACTGAAAGCAGTTTTGAAGATGTAATCTACAATACCTTTGGCAATGTTTTATATGGTGATTCTAATAAAGCACTTAGTGGTCTCTACCCCTCCTCCTCAAGCAGTTTTTCACAGGACAATAGCACTGCCTCCATAGATCACAAGTGATCCTGTATACTAAGGAGAAATCCAGGATACACAACTGTTTGGGATTCCCATAATTTTCACCATCAAAATACTTGCTGCTCTGAGGTATTTTTTAAATTTCTGCAGAGGTCTGTGAGGACACAGTTCAACCATCACCTTGCCAAGATAAAAATCAAATATCTCAGTTCTGATCTGAAGTTTTTGCAGTGAAGTGGTGCCAGCAGCATGTTTACTCCGAGGAATATAATGTGGATAGTCACAAGCAGTGGTAACAAATTTTTTGGCCTTTTTTTCCTGGATAAGTATGTAATGTAACAGCAATGCAGAGGGCCCCTGAAACACTGGTATCCTGCAGTGTCTGTTGTGGCTTCAGATAGTTGAATCCTTTGGAAACTTTCTGCAGAGAAAGGAATACAAAGGATTTTGAGATGCACTGGTGTCTATAGGATGACATGTGATGAAAAATGCCCAAGTTCCATCCAAAGCTTTCAGGTTTGTTTCTCGCCAAGCGCATCATCCATCAGATGATGAGCTCAGAAGTTATGGATTGCCGTGTTAAACACTGGGGAAGTAATCCCTGGAGGACTAAACAAAAGTCATGACTATTTCTTACTCTTATAGGAGAATTTGAAATACTGTGTTTTCCAGTCGTAGGGCTGGTGTGTTTCCATTACTTACTTCCCAAGAGATCCAAGGGTGTAATGAATTGTACTGGAAAAGCAGATTTGACATTTTGTTGGAATATCCAGGTGCAAAGTCTGGAATACTAAATTTTGCTGGGAAGAGTGATGGAAACCTCCCTGTTTCTGAAAAGCATTGTATCTGAGTGTTGCAGCCATGGGAAATACCCTCCCACATATGGAATTTAGGAAGTCATTCCAATCAGCTCAGCAATAACCACTGCCTTCTCCCCTTTCTGCTTATAGAGGAACAACTCTTTCAGTCAAGTAAACATGCTTGAGTGTTTTGTACTGGCATGAGTGATTTGTACTTCTTCCGGGTAAAAACTCTTTGCTCCCCCAGTCCCCATCCTGCTGTCCATCCACTCAAGAGGTTTGCCTGAGGACAGGCAAAAAAGTTGTTGAGTACCTCATGTGAGTACCTCAGCCTTCTCCTCATCCATCGTTACCAGTTTCCCAGCATTGTTTATTGGTGGGGGTGTGGTGTGTGGTATCAGTGAACAGTTGTCCATAAACTCACTCAATACTTCCTTTGGATTTATACGCTTTCAGATGACCTCTTTCCTTAAAAAGACAGAGAACCGCTTTTTCTTAAAAAAGCCCAAACCAACCAGAACACCCAACTTCCCATAAATAGTTTCCCAAGCCTTCTGGGAGTAGACTGAGGTAGTTGGACCCTCAAGACTGCTGCATACTCTTCTGCGAGAGCCTCAGTTAGCTCTGGTAGGTAAACACTGCTAACACATCCATGTAGCAAGAAGTATTGTGGGTTGTAAAATACCTCTATATGCTGCATTTTCAAGTGCTGTTATATTGCTTTACAGCATTAGCATTGACTTAGTTATTAGTAGCAAAGGGGTGAATGAGGTGTTTGAGCATTTTGTTTGAGGGCTTATTTATAATTCCTTTAATCCTAATGGCACTATAATTCTGAGACTTGCAAAAAAGCGGCCTGCCTAAGTAGTGGCATCTCAGTCTTCCATCTTTGCATTTGTATGAAGAGCTCAGCTTAGGGAAGCTTAGGAAGAGCTAGACAGAGCTGCTACTGCTGCTGTGATGGTCTGAGAACTGGCTAACCCAGCCCACCATTGTACATCCATATCTGAAACAGTATTTCTGTTCCTCTTCAAATTTATTTGTGCCATCTAGGGACAGAACTGTGACAGCCCTGCTCCTGCCTGTCCTTTTTCAAGACCTTATGGTTTCTTGCAAAAAAAGCACTTGTCCTTCCAGCAATATCAGCTTTGTGATGCATTTTCTTTAGCAGTGACACGTTTAACCTTTCTCAGAACTGTTGCTGTTACAAATATATGGTGCTTTTCAGATACACAGAAAAATCACCCTATAAAACATGATTTATTAACCACGTGTGGAGGCCCAGTATTTCACAATAGTATTTTACTCTCTAGTTATCCAGAACTCTTCTCATCTGAGCAAGAATAGCACGCGGCTGCATACAACACACTTGGGAGCATGAGGGTCAACACAGCTCTCAGCAATTCAGAGGCCAAAAATCTGCCAGGCACAGGAACAGAAACCTAGGTCCACCCAAGAAAGCAAGAGCCGAGACCTTCTGAGGGTTGTTACCTTTGAAGTACAAAATAAGAGTGCCAGCTGGATGGACTCTGGTAGGGAGATGTTAATGAAGACAGGTGTGATTACCAAGACAGGATACATTTCACCATTTTTTTGCTGTAAGGCTGCTCTAGAGGACCATGTTTAAAGCTTTACTATAGACAAGGAAACAGCATCAACCACACTCTGCATCCAAAGAAGCCATTCACTGCATCGTCACCAGCAGTCACAGACATGGCCAGGCTGTGGTAAGTCCATGCTGGCTGTTTCTAATCACCCTGTTATTCATTCGCTGGGATTTGCTTTGCAACCTTCCCAGGGACAGAGGTTGGCTGACTGATTTGTCTGTCCTGGATTATTCTTCCTGCCTGTATTGGTGAGGACTGTGATAGTCTTTCCAGTCACCAGGAACCTCCCCAATCTCCAAGACATTTGATGGCGATGAAGTGGCCTCATAAAGATGCTGGGTACCTCCCTTCTTATCCTGGGAAGCAGATCTTCCTTTTCTCCTCTTTTACCCATTTTCTGCCTCCATTTTTTTTGTTGTTTTCCTATGTAAAATACTCTTCTGGGGACTTTTCCCTCCTGCATCTCTGCAATTTCCCTCTCTGTCATTTCCTTTTTTTTTTAATTTAATTTATTTTTTTTATTTATCCTCACACTGGGTACTACACTCAAATAGTTGTTCTTAAATATGACCCCTCTCCAAAGAACCATAACATGAGAAGATGCTTAAACAAACAGGCACTCACCTAAGCACCATTAACCTGGGCTTATCTCCCCACATCATACTTCTTTTTTAATGAAAAACTGCTGGCTGCCTCAAAAGATATTGTCTAAACAAGCACAGAACAGCTCCTTAGAGAGATGATCTCTCCAGTTTTATACACTCCAATTTATTACTGCATCATATTTCTAAGAAAATAGTTTTTCTTATGCTTTTCCGCAAAGCACTCTTCTCACAGATTATTTTTAAGCTTTCATTACGAAAATGAAAAAATCTATAAAACTTAAGTAGTAAAATGAGATGATCCTGATTTAGTAATGTTAAGGGGTGTGCCTAAACTAAGTGCAGTGCAATCTGGAATGTCTACCCATGGTGAGAAGACTGAAGGAGATCACATAAAGACAGAAGAAGCAAAAAGAGGTTGAGAGGACGTGTGTGGTTTTATAAGACTGAGGAAACGCCGCCATCCCAGGGAGACATCGGCTGAGCCAGCTGGGGCCTCACACCTTGCCCCTGATTTGAATGGATGACAGAGTTTTTCTTAAGCTTTGCTGCTGTCAGCGTAAGTTTTGGGGATTCACACCCACCCACACTATTTTTGTAGCATCTTCCCCCGCCCACACCAGTGCACTGCACCCAGAAGCTGCCTGTAACCTTGGGAGGCGAATTTGCCCCGTCTCCAGCAGCGTTTTACGACCTTATGCAGGCAGATGTGCACCAAAGCCGACCCCAGAAACATCTCTGCTCTCCCCCCTCTGGAATGCATTAATTATGCAAGCATCCAGACAGTTCCTCCTGCCAAACCCACCCGGTGTCCTTATGTTAGGACAAAGCACATTGCCCGTGAGAGGTGAGGAAAGGAGCGGGGGAGGACACATGTGAAGACCCGACTATCTTTCCTCACGGTCACAGGCGCTTAGGTGGAAAGTCGGCATTAAATCTTTCCTCACCTTTAAACCAGTTCATCCCTTCATTGTCTCCAGATGCAGGCAGCTTTATGCCTAGCCAGGAAAAAGAACTGGGGGTATCAAGTATCTGCACTTTTAAATGTTATCAGCCACTTCCCTTAATTTATTACAATAAATTGCTGATGGAGGAAAAGAACAGGATTTACCTGCATACACATAAAGAATATTTCTGCTACTACTTTTTTCAGACCTCTGCAGATCTGACTTTCTTCCCTCTCTCTCCCTCCATCATTTATCTGAAACCTGCCTTATTTCTCCCTGCGTTGGCTTTGGTGTCTAGACTCTCTTCCATTTTTCATTAAAAGAGTGTTGTTTTTGCTCACCTGCTGGTTATTTCTTTTAACTTCCCTACTGCAGAGAAGAAAGTGACTTTCATTTGGAACTAACTTCAGCACTGAGACATCCAGGAGCTCCTAATGGTTGGGATCTACAACCCAGGTTTTTAGGTTTTTCTCCCCCTTCATCTAAAGACTTGCACCCTCCAAAAAGGCACTGCTTTTATATGGGAATGCAACTCACTCAAATGTCATACTTCACTATGCCACAGCACTGAGAGCCCCTAGGTAAATTAGAGACTGGATTAGTGTGTATCTACTACCTTGTACTGAGAGAGCCATAAATACAAGAGGTAAAGAGCTGAGAAAGATTATGTTTGGGTAGTGCCACCTTGGGTATGACTTAGTCGTTAATAATGTTTCTATTCATTTTTTAGAGATAAATTAGAGTTTTCTTGTTGACACAAAAATTTTCCCTCTTTGTGGGAGCACTGGGCACCCACAACCCCTTCTCTCATGGTGCCTCCAGGAGGAGGAATGGATCCTGTCAGTGAATAACAGAGAAGCCTTTTTGCAATGCAGCAATGGTTGTGAGTGCAAGAGATGACTGCTGCCAAAGGGTTTGTTATGGTCCCTTCTCCTCACTGGGAGGAGAGAGAGGACTCAGGAGAGAAGAAAGGATAATGATACTGAACTGCAGGGCTCCTGTGAAGATACTACATACGCTCTTCTGCTGGGTATATTTCCTTGCTATAGTCTCTTGGCCTGCTTTTCCCCATGACTATGGTCTGTGAGCTGTCACTTCTCCTTTGCTCAAGGAGAAGACCTCAGTTCCAGTTCCTCAGACTCCCTCACTGCTGCAGCACTGTGGGCA